GGGAAACTAAAGACACAAAGTTCACTCGCAGGATGATGATAAATAGTAAAATAAATAAAGACTGAACTGCAAAGTGTCCCAACAGTTTCTGTCTAAAGTCATTTAACATATTTGTTTCTTCTTTTGAAAGCTTTGTCTTGCCTTCAGTAGAAGGTGTACGGTATCACTGAGGTCTTTTACAGTGACTCTCAGCTCCAGTTTTTATTGAAGGTTCTTTGAGAAAACTTGATAAATGCTTGCATAGGAAGGAAAAGTCCTCACAGCAAGGAAATTCCAGTCAGTGTTTTGATTTTTAATGGGCTGGAACCACTTCAAAAGGAAAAAATAAGAAGGTTTAATGTACCAAGAGTGAAATATTTTCCCATCAGCACCAAGCTGTCTGGCACGTAAACTGAAAATGTTTAATAATCGGCTGTGTAGGTAAATATCTTTGACCCTTAAGCACCAAATCAGATTCATTTCTGCCAGAAAGGCGCGACTGTCTTCATTTTTCTTAATTATTTTTTAACTTCGGTTGGTTTCGTTTCTTTTTGTATTTAATTTTTACCCCAGGCGGTTACTACCTGACCAGTGCCTACGGAGCCATGTCCCTCATCAAAAACTTCCAGGAGGAGCAGGCGGCCCGAGTGCTGAGCTCCGAGGCCAGGAACACGCTGCACCAGTGGCACCGCCGGCGGACCGCCCAGCGTTCAGTACCGTGTGTGGACGACTTTCAGGTATCACCTGACCTGAGCCGACCTTGACCATCCAGGCAGTGAGTCAAACTTGTACGAGTAAGAGTAAATCCAGCTTTGGACAGAGGCATGGAAGGTGCTGTGTCTCAACTGTACTAACATCACAGCATGTTGCTCCTGATAACATTACTGCATGTAAAATCTTTGTCACTGCATGTGGGTTTCCTGCCTGCTCACCTCCTCAGAAATGCCGCTTTCGTTCATTTTACAGTTTTCTAAAATTGAACTCTTTTCTCTCTAGAACTATCTCCGAGTCGCGCTGCAAGAGCCGGGGGTGGGCTGCACGGCCAAAACGCTGGTCGTCCACCCGTACACCACCACAGAAGAGGTCTGCTCGCTGTGCGCCCAGAAGTTCAGGCTCTCCGACCCTGAGAACTACGCTCTGTTTCTGGTCAACGAGGAAACCAGCCAGCAGCTCACCCCAGACACTCACCCTCAGCGAATCAAAGCCGAGCTCCACAGCCGGCCGCGCGCTCAGGTCTTCCACTTCGTCTACAGGAGGGTGCACAACCTGAACCTCTGCGTCCCCGGCGTCGTGCAAAATGGAAACTGTCCTCAGGTTGAATAGCAGAGGGAGACAAGCTCCGCCTCTGGTGCTTGTTGATGTTTTGTGGAGAGGGTTGAAGTTGCACATTGGCAAGTTGATGCAGATATGAAATAAGGATGTCTTTGATTAGCAAATGATTTTTTTTTAATTAGGTTGAACTCTGGAAAAAGACAAAGAAGGGGAAATTCAGCAGCCTGTATCTGCTTTGGTTATAAAGGAGTTTAGCATGTGTTACGTGGGTGGAAATGAAATGTTTGGCCATGATGGACACGTATACCATCCTCAAATAAATGACTAACTTTTGCCTTAACTACTGCTCCCTCGGTGCCTTTAAAAGGAATTGATTATACTGTTTGCCACTGACAGCATTCAACCCAGATTAAAACTCCACTCTAAGCATTAATTTAAAAAGAGAAATGAGCTTTTGTAAAGTGTATGATTGTTCTGTTTTTATTGTTCTGCAGTTGCTGGACAACTGCAGTTGGTATTTGTGTGTAGAAATATTTTTATATCCAAATATTTTTTATCCCTTAAGTGACAAAGATTTGTATTCTGAATTACTGTTTCTGTACTGGACTCAATACTGGACTTTATTTATGCCAGATATTTCTCCAAAGTCGACTTAAATCAGCACAGTTTCTATTGTATGTTATTAAAAAAAAGCTGAATATGTAAATTTATAAAATACACTTTAAACGAGGCCACTTGCTGACTCCTGTATTTATGTATGTTTTTCTGAAAAGTCACAATTCAGTAGCACGGCAACAGGAAGAGAACAATGGATGATTTTGCTGCATTTATGAGACAAAATCACACACCTGCAAAATGCACCATTAGTCACCTCCTGAGGGTTTAAACATGAGTATCAGCCTGTTGATGCAGCGGTGAGCAGCTTTATTTTCTACACTCAACGTGTCTGAGATGAGTTACACAGCCTCACATATTGGACAGCTGAAGTAAAACATGGTGCATTTTATATATATATATATATATAATTTTTATTTTTATTTTTTACACAACTTATACAGCGATACATTGGTGGACTCTGACCACACAGTGAGACTTATGCAAAACAACCACCTTTTGAATGAGTCTACATCATTCGCAAATTCAGCCAAATCTGTTAATTTATGCAGCAGCACAGCAGCCAATCAAAGGACTGCACGGCAAGTAATGCACCAAGTTTAACTTCCACACCAAGTTTACTCTCAAATAAAATAGAATAAACAGGTTCCTAAAACAAAAACAAGGTGAAGGTTTGCAGCACTCAGCCATGCCTCTGTGTGCTGGGACAGTCAGCGTGGTTACACCCCTAAATTTAAGCATCATCATGGCATCAGTTAAAAATAAACTTCCAACTTTCCCCATGTGGGACAATGAAAGGATTATTCTATTCTAAATCCACCCCACTACAGTTGTTATGACGCAAGAAAATAAAGAGTTCAAAAGTATTTCTTTTATTTGGAAAAATATCAGGATTCTGTCACCTTTCAAGCCTGTTTCAAGTGGACTGTTATGAATCTTCCTTTCATTCAATTTTCTGTTGGGTTGTTTTGTTAGCAGCGTCAGGCTCCACGCTGACCCTCTGACCTCTGTGTTTGCCATTTGAACCATGCCTGAACAACAAAGTTAATGTACTCACAATAGTGTATGCCAAAGTGTGGTACATAATGTACTGTAACAAAGTGAAAAGCTTCCTGGAACTGATAGTGAGACATTAGGCTTCAAGCTAATGGAGTTGTTCTCCGGTCTTTGTCCCCGGTTCATTGTGACTCCTGCCTGTGTCTTTGGAACATGGGTTCAACTAAAGATCTTCAAAGCCACATGTGTGGCCTTTGCAATAAATACAGGAAAGCAAATGTGGATTTAGAGGGTGAGGCAAAAAAACCCCAAAAAAAACAAAAAACAAAAAAACAAAAAAACGGGACTAGAAACAAAGACAGATTGTGGGTTTTGTCTATTTGATCAGGAGAAGGGATCAAATAAAAGTTAGGTGAGTTGACTGCTATGTGTAGTTCAAAGCTATTTAGCAAAGATTAAAGACGGTATGTGTTTAGACCAATACTGACTCCGAACAAGCAGTTTAGGTACAAGTGAAGGTGTCAGGTTTATGTTGAGGCCAGAAGATTAAAGTGTATGGTTTTGTGCCATACCAGAAAACAAAGTCTTACAAGGCTGTAATTAATATAATGAAGTCCCTGTATGTAGCATGCTTATTGCTCTTAAAGGACACTGTAAGAAGCCCGCCTAGCGCTCTACCTACCTTTCAGAGAGAGCACACACACACACACACATCAGGAAATCCCAACTTAGCTCTATGTTTGTGTCAGCAGAGACTGCCCCTCTGTGGCACTTACAGGGCAATACAGGCGCCTCCAGGTAGCCTTCAAAATTTGGTTTAGATTATCCCTAAATAAAACCTTCCCCCCTACGATTTTATACCCAAAGAAGATGGAATTCAGTTTTCATTATATAGCCTTAAGTCACAACAACAGATGCTCCAAGACACTTTATATTGTAAAGATCCTACAATAATACAAAGAAAACAGAGAAAGCCCCGACAATTAAATGACGCCCTGTGAGCAAGCACTTTGGTAGGGAGCCCGACAAGGGACATTGGAGGAAAGAAAATTGAAAAAAAAAAGTACGTCTTGTTTTCCCCCAATCTCCATTACCTTGCTCCGTACTTTGGCAACAGTGGGAAGGAAAAACTCCCTTTTAACAGGAGGAAACCTCCAACAGAACAGACTGAGGGAGGGGCGGACACAGGACATCTGCCACAACCAGTTGAGGTAAGTAAGTCAGGACAGGTGTTAAGGTTTAAACCAGAACTAGAACCAACAAAGGTGACTAAAATCGCAGCCCTTACTTTCTTCCAGAGAGAGGAAGGCCTAGAGAGGAGGAGTCAACCCGTGTTTATATACTGCAGGTGTGTGGATAGGTGATGGAGCACAGGTGTCTGGAATCCACGACGAAATGTAAGAGAGGTCATTTATCTCTGAGGGTTGGTAGACGTCAGAGCCAGTGTGGGAGAGCATGTGGATGTGATTGTACAAAGAATAAAAATAAATAAACAATGAAATAAAAAAGGCGGAAGTAGTTTCGAGAATACAGCAGCGATCATTTTAACGAATTAAAAAAAATGCATTTATTTCCTTATTTATTTCCCTTCTTGTTTTTTCCCATAAAACACTAGTATTCCGGGTTAGGGTTGTTAGGGTTAACCCTAACCCTGGCTGTTAAGGCTTTACGTCGGGGCATACGTTTACAAACGCCAGGCAGCTGTTAGAAAGGTTATTAAACAACAACAGAAGGGTGCAAGTTTGTAGAAGAGCTGGTTGTGGTGGTTGAAGGCGAATCCATCAGCAGACCGCTTGATTTAAAGTCCCCGTTGCTGCTGGCTTCATGCCAGGAGTCAAAATGGCGGATGCTGGGAAAGTTGTTCAGCTTGCACAGAACACTCACAGAAGGGTATTTTGAGGTAGTTAAAATCGATAAAGATGTAAAAGTGGAGTTATGTATAATGTTATGGCCACTTCTGTGTGAAATGAAGTGAAAACCAGAATAAAGATCTTTAACTCGGGAGATGTATGTTGTTTTGAGCAAAAGCGTTGGAGTAGCTAGCTAGCGCCCCCTAAAAACCCAAGAGTCCCGAGAGCGGTCGTTCCCAGATTATATCAGCTTTGTGGTTCACGCCCATTCGTGCTCCTCAGCTGTGGCGGGTCTTAAGAAAGTGAAAGTATTTTTTTTTCTTGTCGTTTTCTTCTGCGCACAATGCTGCCGTGAACGCCGCAATCTCCTCTTCGTGGAAAAGAAAGGTGCTGTAGCTTCTTCGGTGAGTTTGGCTCGCTTGTTAATACGTAAATTAATACGTAAACGAACGAGTCAGTATAATGCAAGATGAAGCTGAGTCAACAGTCCCGTCTTGCAGTTCAGCTGGATGAGGTTTTTGCCAAACACCGGTGTTTTTACTTTCGATTTCTCATTCTGGGTTAAAGCAGCTGATGGTGTTTTTTCCCCCTATGGGGTCGATTTTAGTTAAAGTTCATTTCTATGTGTTCAAACGATGGTTAGGTTTCCTTATTGTTTTTTTGTTGTGTTTTGTTTTTTTTAACTTTTCAGCTATTCGCGCTACGTTGAGGGCACTTCCGAAACAAGAACTTATATCACTGAGCATGCGCAATGCTACACGGGTATTTACAGTGACTGTTGATATGCAGATCAATAATACAGTAAATAATTATCAGGCAACAGGTAAAATAAGCGTTTGATTTGCTGCTGAGTGAGAGTAACTTCTAAAAAATGAATTTATTTTTAGCAAGCAGAACAAAATGCAACAAAAAAACACGAGAAAGTACGAGCCTTACAACATATCTTCATCTGAAACACCGATTCCAACGATGTATTGGCCCCGTTACTGTTTTTACTTTGAAATGTTTATATGATTTCACTTCAGCTTGTTTTTCCGTGTTTTTCACATGAGTGTTGATATGCAGTTAAGCCTGCAGTTATCACACTAAACTCCAAATAGTGCTCTGTGAAACAGCATCTCCGATGCTTAAATTATGATATTTTTCTTTCTTCTTCTTTTACTGCTCCCTTTAGAGGTCGCCACAGGGGTTATCTGCCCCCATCACCTCATGCCTAGCTTCTTTCTTTGTCTCACCAACCTCCTGTATGTCCTTCCTCACAAGAATCCTCTCTGAGCTGTCCCTCTGGTGTATTAAGTGTAAATCTTAGCATCTTATTAAACCCTTTGTTTCCACATAAAGGGGACAAATGTTTTAGGTGAACATTATGCATTCTACCTATCAATATTTTACAAGCTCTAAAGTTGATAGGAGTTGAAACTGGTCACTTACCTGCCTTTTTCAGTCCCCGTGACTTCATAAGTACAGGGAAATGCACATATCAAGGCCTGAAAAATACATTTAATCTTTGTCAACAACAAAAACTCTAAATGTAACAGTTTTTGCTCTCTACAATTATTTATAAAACCAACACTAAGTCTAAGGGGATATATTAAACTGTTGTAGAGAACATCTGAACACCTAATTGGTTCTCGGTAATTTTAAAGCTACATAATGTAAAAATATAGTCATAGTAGAAAAATTTCATTGGCACTGAAGAAGGCTAGAGGCTAGAAGATAAGTCTGGTATGAAAATCCAGGTAGAGGGGAGACGTTTAGTATGATCTACCTTGTTTGGAGCCACCTGTCCCACATGGTGATAGGACTCCTGAAAGTTTACCCAAAATGTTCTGTTTAAAAATGTATCAGGTGAATTATCAGAGCACACATCAAACATTCAGGGTACCAAAGGTTTTGACTACGTGAACTGTCTTTAGTGCTTGAGGTGAATGTCAATCAGCTGATTGCCATCCAAAGAGATTCCTCAATACTAAAAGCTGAATGGCAGTCCAAGAGTTTTAGTCTCATGTGGTGTTAAATTAAAAAATAAAGTTTAGCTTCCTTCATCTCAACCTGGAGAGATGAATCTGACTGTCCAAATGAAGTAAACTTTGTCATTTGACAGCGTGCACAAGGTTCTTCACAGACATCCACATGCCTGCAAATGTTGTGTGACTGTGCAGCCTTGTGTGTAGAAGATTACAACAGAGCACCTGTGCAGCGACTTCAGAGTGAAACAGGAATGACTGCTCTGCGCCATGTCTCCAGCTGTCTGTGTCCTCAACATTGGATCATTCAATTTCTAAAGACCAGGGTCACAATGATTGTTCCTCTTGGTTAGTCTTTGTTACAAACACTAAACTGGGCCTGTTTTGTTATTGAAAGCATGACGTATCCCACTTATTGATGCTCAGGCTGGTAATAAGAAAGCATTCTGATCAAAAATGTGATTGTGGCACTGGCATTGAGTGTAAAATTGATTTGGTTGGGTTTTTATGGCCTAAATGTGTTTTTAACCTTCTGTGTTTTTAACCTTCAGGTGGGAGACACTGACTGAGTTTTTGTGGACTGACTTTGCAGTAAAATGTTTCTCACTGACTTTTCATCTTTTCAGGAGCATCTGCCATTGTTATGGCTCTCCAAACCTGTCTCAAAGCTGCGCTGAGGAGCAAATATGAGAGCCTGGATGAAGCCTTTTCCAAAAGCTCAATACTTCCTTCGAGGCTCTGCTATCAGGACATCAGGTACAACTACACAGAGCCTGAATTCTTCCAGCATGAGTACAGACGCCTGGATAGGAGCTTCTTTTTTCCAGACGCTCCACTTGCAGACATTTTATCGTGCAAATGTCAACATAACAGAAATAGAACAGTCATCACTATAGGAGTGAGCGGAGTCGGAAAAACCACAATGGTGCAGAGCTGTGCTCTTGATTGGGCCAAGGACAAGGGGTACCACAGCATCAGCTTCCTGTTTCCTCTCACCTTCTGGGAATTGAATCTGCTGAAAGATAGACTGAGCCTGATTGAGCTTCTCCAGACATTTTACCCTGAACTGAAGGAGCTTGATGCATCTGTCCTAAATGAAGACGGGGTGTGGTTCATTCTCGATGGACTAGACGAGTTTCAAATCCAGCTCAACTTTGACTGTCCAGCTGTGAGTGATGTTTCTGAAGCATCAACTGTAGACAGTCTTGTCACTAACCTAATCAGGGGAAATTTACTCCCAAGAGCTCATATATGGGTAACGTCTCGAATTTCAGACGAATATCAAATACCTCCCTTTTATTTGCTGAAAAAAACGGAGCTGCGGGGATTCAGCGATGAAGAGAAGGAGCAGCACTTCCAAATGGTCATCGGTGATGATGATCTTGTCAACAAAGCCATCAATCACGTGAGAATATTGAGGAGCCTGGACTCCCTGTGTCAGATACCTCCAATCTGCACCATTATGGCAAGTGCTTTAAAGGATCACGTAAAAGGGCAAAAGGGTTTTAAGTTGCATCCCTTGAGTCTAACTGAGATTTACAATCTGGGTTTCGGTGCGCTGGAAGCGAAACACTTGCCTATCTTTACCAAGCTGAAGAAGGTGGCGCTGCTTCGGATGGGAGTGCAGAACGTCATGTATGAGGATGACCTTTCAGGAAACGGGATAAGTGTCGAGGAAGCTTTAGCTTTCGCAGAAACATTCCCGCTTGTTTTGAGAACGGAGACGGGACTGAACGGTACCACTGTGTTTCGCTTTGGCCACTTGAGTGTTCAAGAGTTCCTGGCTGCGTCTTACAAACTGGAGGACATCAAAGCTCAAAAAATGAATTTAAGCTCCTGTATTCAGCATCAAGTGGATGAAGTGCTGGAGAATAATGAGGGAGTCTCTGATCTCCTACTTCGTTTCATGTTTGGCCTCATTAAGGAGCGCATGCTGTTGCCACCCAAAGATTTGCTCTTTGGCTATGTCAAGAAGAAGATCCTGAGCAAGATATCGTCCTACAGCACCGTCGTCCTGTTTCACTGCCTGCGGGAGTACGACAGTCAGGCGTTGCAGGAGGAGGTTAGGTTCTTTCAGAAGTATGGCGTTTCTCAGATCCCAGGGTTCTCACTGATGCACTGGAGAGACTTGATGCAGAGGATCAGAGCTTTTGAAGGGATTCGAGAGACTTTTGAGATGGAGGTGTCAGTGAGATGTGATGACAAACTCATCAAGAATATTCCAGCTATTTTCAAATCCAGGAAAGCCATGTAAGTTTGTACTTATTGCATTCACTGAATTTTATCCATACGCCTATTTTCTTAACCACTTATCCAGGCCATGTTGGATCCAAGCTGTTATAGGGCGAGAGGCAGTGTTCACAATCACAGGGCAGTATGTACAGATGCTACACACATATTCGTACATTTAAATGAACTGAAATGTTTTATCTCACATCATATGACAAAACTGTGTTCCTTCAGGTAATGCAGGACTTTTGTTAAACCCCTTGAATTAAAGCTGTAAGTCAGTGTGTCAGGGGTTCGATTTAAAACCCACTGTGATTGTGCACAGAGCTGTAACTGCAAAATTATTTCATTGTCTACATACTTAAACATTTGCCTGGACATACAATATTTCCCTCTTTGCCAGATGTCATTAACTTCTACCTGTTTGCAGGCTGAAATTCTCCAACCTGACTGACAAGAGCTGCCCAGCGTTGGCAGCAGTCTTAAGCTCAAAGGAGTCATTCCTGAGGGAGCTGGATCTGGGGTACAACAGCTTCAGCACCAGTGGAGTCCAAGAACTTGCAGAGGGCCTAAACAGTATGACTTGCAGGCTGAAAATACTTCGGCTGCAAGGCTGTGGACTGACCGCAGAGACCTGTCAGTATTTGAGCCAATGCCTGATGCAACACCAAATACTGCAAGAGCTGGATCTTAGCAGCAATGGAATAGGAGATCGGGGGCTGAAGCTGCTGTCGCATGGTTTGGGAAGTTCTAGTTGCCGGCTGCAGACATTAAAGTAAGTGTTCAGGTGGCAAAGCGTTGTTTCTCTATCAAGACCCCCTAACGCTTTTCTGACTTAATTTTGTTGATTAATTTTAAACCCCAATGACATTCTCGAAAACAAGTTGTTTTTTTTCTTTTGCATAAAGTAAACCCTCAAATACTTCATCATTCATAAAGCCGATAGTTACTCTGTCACCACAGACCAGTTATAAGTCAGGGAAAATCGCAAATACTCCACAGTGAAAAAGGAATTGTGGGGGGAAAGAAGCTATGCTATAATGGGTTATGTTCCACGTAAGAGATCATCACCTACTGAGCAATCAACTCAAAGATTAATAGGATCTAAAGTGTTTGTCTCTCCCTGATGAGCATTGGTACAGTTTGCATGGAGGCGAAGAAGACTTACCGTTTTATTTCTGGGGTTTTTTCTATTTATTCTTTACCACGTCTCAGGCTGTTAAATGCCACCAGGACTGCAGCTGAAAGAACGACACTACCCGTCTTACCGCTTCTGCCTGGCAGCTGATTTACCTGTCCATTAACACCATAGAATAGAATAGAATATTCTTTATTGTCATTGTCACAAGTACAATGAAATACCATTGATGCTACCAGATCTTTGGCTCTTTCATGTGAACATGACCTTACCTACACTGATAACCCTGAGTTGCCTAAGTGAGCTGATAACCACATTCATGTATTTGCTTAGCCTGATTTATGATGTTAGGATAAGTGAAGCCAGATAATGGAAGCTATCCAGGATACGTTGAATTTGCTTCATAGTGCAGGTCATAGGTCTCGCTGACAAACACGCCCAGTGAGAAAAAAAATTGACGACATAAATGAGCATCACAATACGCTCTAATTCAAATCACACCAACAGACAGAAACAATCTCATCATCAGACTGTTGAATCATGAATTAATGAGGAAATGAGGTAAAAACTGTGTTTGCTGAGCTCTTCAGTCTGTCCGTCGTCAGTCCCCGAGATCATCTGCACATCAGTCAGGCCAGGTTTTAAATTTCAACAAATTTTGCAAAAAATTCCAAATCAGTGTTTTTACTTTTAGTTTCAGTTATTGGGTGTAAAAGACCGATTTGTATTATTGTAAAGCTAAATTTGTGGCATCTTTAAATAAAATAAAAATGTAAATAAATTAAAAGGGTTGTATGGATCTGGATACCTGTGTATTTATGTTGTATGTTTATCTTGATATTAACATTTTTAAAACATTAATAATATGTTACTGAGGAAAACCCCCCAAAAGAAATCAAGCAGTTCGAATACTTTAAGGAGTGATAGTGTAAATGCTGCACCTTTTACTCACAGCTGTGCACATACAATATTAAAATGACACTGATAAAACCATTCCTCACAGGTGAAATTATGTTGTGTATTTATTGTCTGTATTTCTTACTCATAGGTTGTCACAGTGTGACATTAAAGAGGCTGGCTGCTATGATCTGGGCTCAGCTCTGCTGATAAACCCTCCTTTTCTCAGTGTGTTGGATCTAAGCATCAATTGGATTGGAGACGAGGGGGCCAATGAGATATTTAACAATTTTGACATATCGTATCTAAAAAAGTTGGAGTAAGTATGGCTTAATCTACAGAAAGTCCTTTTTCCAGTAACATACCAAAGCATATAAAAGTTGGGTTCATAGATAGACACGTTTGATTTATGGGATAAATGTAGGCTTTAAGTGTGGTTAGTCTTGATTTAGTGAGTTGATCACAAATATCACATTAACTCGAGGGAAATTTAAGCCATTTTTATACACAGTCCCCTCTTTTTTTTTTGTGTCTTTTTTTGTGCGCCAAAGCGGATCGTTTACGCCTAGTCAGCCCCCATAGACTACCATGTTAAAAAGAACCGCTTTAAAGCAGAAACAACCATGTTTACAACCTTCTAACAAAAATATCTTTTGGCTTCTGTGGACAGTTGGAGTTTGGAGGAATTTATGCCGCTAAGGTTTAGTGGCTACTTTGACAGATGTAACTGTAGCTACTAACTGCAGTCACTGAACTGGATTTCTCCAGTGTTTTGGTGCCTTTTATGAGCTTTTAATACAATTATCTGACAAATAATATGGCAGGAACTAGTGTATATATTGTGCTCATACGGTTTATTATTCCACTTTGTTAACAAAGCTTTAGCCGCTAACTTAGCATGTCACCCTCTCCAAATATGGTCACTTCCAAAAATATCATGGTACCATAATGTAGCTAATGAGGCTGCCATTTCTGCTTCCATCTTTTATTTACAGCCAATAATTAAAGCAAAAACTCTGCATGTTTAGCCCATATTTATCACTGTAACTTCATTATACTTTGCAAGAAAGCCAATTAAAAAAAAAAAAGAAAGATGTCTGTCACCACAGATGTATGGATAACTGCTGCTTATCAACATAAATTGATAGATTTCACTCATATGGTCGTTCGTGTCTTTGGCAGGTTGTACTGCTGCGGCCTCACCGTGCTGAGCTGTGAAAGTATTGGGGAAGCTCTGAAGAGTGAAACGAGCACTCTGTTAGAACTCAATTTGAGCAACAACAGCTTGAAAGATGCTGGGTTTAAAATCATCTGCGAAGGCATGTATGCGTGGTGTAGTCTCCAAAAACTCAAGTAAGCATGACCTGATTACACACTGACTGAAACAAAGAGACGTTAAAAATCCTGGCAAAGATTTCTTTTTAATCCATTTATTATCGATGAATATTTGGCCTAACACATTATTCATGTTTGTGGTATTTCTCCTCAGTGTTTCACGATGTGGAATCACTGGTGCAGGTTGTCGATACCTGGCAAAGGTCCTCTGTTCAATCTCGCAGCTCACCGATGGCTGGATGGGAGTTGGCGAGTGGCAGGCGGTGGAGCTGATAGACCTGGACCTCAGCATGAACCACATCGGAGACAAAGGAGTGAAAGAAATTTCACCCGGCCTAATGAATCCTTTGAGCCACCTGAAAACTCTGAAGTGAATCTTCTTTTTTTCTTCATAATGACAGCGTGGGCTCAGTTTGATTGAAAGAAAAGCTTGCTGTAACATAGCTTTTTGCTTCCTTTCAGCCTGACTTACTGCAGTCTGACTGACAGCTGCTGTGCAGAGCTCGCCTCTGGACTGATGTCAAAGGAGAACATTCTCAGCGAGCTCGACCTGTCTCACAACAACCTTCAAGATAAGGGAGTGAAGAAACTCTACATCGGACTCCAAAGCCCGCAGTGTAAACTTGAGAAGCTGTCGTAAGTTATTAAACTTTTATACTATGTTTAAAAAAACAACAACAACAAAAACCTCTTTCTAATAAAGTTAAACGAGTCAACACATGGGCTGTATCTGCAGTGCTTCTCAAACTTTTCACAATGAGTACCACCTCATAAAATATATGGCTGTTGAAGTGCCACCCTTATGACGGACATTAAAGTACAGTAGTATAGGCCTATTTAACACCACATACAGTTTACACGAGACAGTTTTATTTCTTATGAATGCTATTTATTTAACTGTCATAAACAGGATGTGACAAGTGATAATAATAACAACTGGACTGCAATAAAACATTCACAGCAGGTGGGATATCCGGTCTTTAAATAATGACCTGATGAATCCTGCTTCCAGGTCCAAACTACTCTGCATTTATTAAGGCTGTTGTGTATTTAACATGTTTTAATGCTTTGTATCTTGTTATATTTAATCTCAACAAGCCCCTAAAAACACTCAGTGATCACTGTCGGCCTCTCTCAGTTTTTATTACCACTCTTCATTTTAAAGCTCAGTTTTTAAACCCTTACGATGTAACTACAACCCATACGATTTTCTCAGTTGTTCTCCTGACTGAAGTTTGGTCTGTTTACAGCATTCTGCCATGTGATTGCATTTGTCCCTAACCATCGGGAACCCTCACGTTAACTTTTATTGAGTGGAAAAAAGTTAGCGTTCATGCTCCAGCTTCACTGTGTTTATATTGTGCTAACCATAGCTGTGTAGCTAGCCACAACGCAGCACATCATATATACCCGACTAGCCCGACTTCAGTAACCCTACAAACGTCACTGCTGTTTAGTTTTCTGTCTTCATTTATGTTGGAAGTGATAACAGAGCTGTACGTTTGAATTTTTGCTGAGGCGCTTAAGCTGCCGGAGTTTTGGCTTCACGACCCTACAAGGAGCTTCGGCATCCAGGCGATAGTTTCCGACTCACCCACGACATCTCCAGCGCCCCCACCGATTCTCCCGGGGGCCTCCGACACATCTATGGTGGCTGGGATCGCGGCACGGCAGCACTGCCGAAAAGGGCTGTGTTTTTTACCGTCAGTGTGACAACGCAGTGCCGCCTTTGCAGTTTTAAGGCCCAGGGAAATGAGCCCACCAGCACTCTCTAGTGGCCGTGACGCTGGCGATAAGGAAAGGCTGCTCTTCATAGAGGACTCACGCTCAGGGAGACGTTTTCTGGCTGACCCCAGCTCCCAGAAGAGCCTCGGGAACTCTTGTGTTGTCTTTGCATAGCTCCACAATCGTATATTATTTAATCTTTTAAAAAAAAAGGAGTTTTCCCGCGTACCACCAGAGAGAGCCCAAGCACCACGAGTGGTACGCATCCCACAGTTTGAGAAAGACTGGCTTAGAACCAGTGAAGTAAAATTCAGGTTCTCGGTTTATGTGAAAAGTCTAAAAAATGAAAATTTACAAATATATGTTAAAAAATCCTCACAAATATGTTACAAAAAAAAAAAACATGAACATTTATGATAGAAAAAATACTTGAACAGTTTTTCGTTGTCACACTTCAGGATAAAGTTGGAAAGAATTCACATCCGCACCGGCCCTCGAGGCCTGGAGTTCCCCCACCCCTACAATAAGTGAATCTTTTACCCATTTAACCATGTAAAGCAGGGGTGGGGAACTCCAGGCCTCGAGGGCCGGTGTCCTGCAGGTTTTAGATGTGTCCAACACAGCTGATTTAAATGGCTAAATTACCTCCTCAACCTGTCTTGAAGTTCTCCGGAGGCCTGGGAATCATTTGAGTCAGGTGTGTTGACCCAAGGTGATATCTAAAACCTGCAGGACCTTGAGGCCTGGAGTTCCCCACCCCTGGTGTAAAGTGAAGCAATTTTGTTCCTCGACTAATGAAAGTTTCCCTCTTGAAATTTTGCATAGTTCTTTTATAAATTTGTACTTTTTTTCCTCAAATGATTTTTTTTCGTCTCTTTGTGGTTTTAACCTTCAGATGATATTAGCCCACTCCACTCTCCACAAATGGGCGAGACCTTAAATACTTCCACACATATGTGCTGCTAAGTTAGTGTTTTTGTAGCACAGTCGACTGTGAGCCCAGTAATGCACCCAGATGTTCAGATCTGTATTTATAACAAAACATGTTGACAAGTTGAAATATAAGTCAAATAGAATTTGCAGCTCCTCTGAATTCAAAAGACGTGCACTGGAGACTGTGTGACACCGTCTCCATGAGATAAAGAGTAACAAACTTTTTTGATTTGCCCTTGAATTTATGCAGTTATTGCTCAAATGACAGAAGTGATAACAAACATGTCCTGTTAATGTTTGAACACAAAATACTCGCCCAAGTTACTTGTTAATAACCAAATGATGCACCTCGAGCTCGGGTAAATGCATGTGCATGTTTGTTTGCAGACCCACACTGTCGGGGTAGACTGAGCTGTTCTGTATTTCTGTTTCTGTTCAGACTGAGGACCTGTGGCCTGACCTCGAGGAGTGTTCAGTTCCTGACCTCAGCCCTGAAGTTAAACCCGTTCTATCTGACAGAGCTGCATCTGGTGGGCAACAGGCTCGAGAACTCTGAAATCAGAGCACTCGCGGAGCTAACGAAGAACCACAAATACGCACTCAGGACAATAGAGTGAGTACCAAAGATGTGAAAAATGCTCACATAAGAGCAGGTGGGTTTCTTCTTTTGCCTTGTTGGATGGTCATTCACAACCAAGAAAAACGGATAATATTTAAGTATCGTAACACTGATAGTTTCTACTTCTATTTAGTTGTAACACGTGAGACCTCAGATGGCACTGTGCAAAAGAAAAATTGTGAGGTTTTTAAACCTGGGCACTATTGTTCCATCTCTTTGGGTCTGTTATTAAAAAAACACAGAAATGTTTGTTTTCATTCAACGTTGAGCAAGAATGCTGTAATTTAACCAACAGCCCTGAAACAGTGGGAGTGTAATGGCTTAAAGCAACGCTCCACATTAAAGTTGTTGTTATTTTCCCCACTGATGGGCTCCAATTATAAGTCTCTCTCTGAGGTATCACATGATTGCATTAAAGCAGTGTAAACATTAGGTAGTACTCACATTCACGGCTTCAACACTGATTTTCTTGAATATGGTGGATTACACTGAGCACATGCGACAGATCCCAGAGTCTTTCACATCTGTCAGGTGTTCAGGGTGAATCTGAATCTGTGAAGAGAACAGGGCACCAGCGGTTTCTGCTTCCCGGCTGGACTGACTGATGTCCCTGAAGTTTAACTCACTTTGGGTTACATTGTGATGACTAAATGTTTCCTGTTAATCATCACCCCCAAAATAGGAAAATAAGACCCACAACTGTCCTTCAGTATATTTCTATCCTTATCTTTTCACTATTCATAACAAATTTCACTCCCTTTATTTCAAGCATTCATGTGCCTTTTTTTTTTATCTTATCTTCCAGCGTCTCAGTGGACTGAAGAAGAAGTGACACAAGTGGCTCTGTCTCCTTATTTGCACAGAAACTGGATGGCTACCACATAATTCTGTTCAGTTTGAGTTTCTGACTTAGAAATAGTGTAAAAAAGACTCGAAATGTTTAATTTTCCATTATTACCTCTTTGTATATAATGTTTTTTTAACCAAGTACTTTATTTCTGGGCCATAGAAGAATTGCCCCACGTCTTGGTTACGGTGACCATATTCCAACAAATGAAACGTTGCTAATGCCGAGAGGCATGTGGTATGTGAAGGACAAAGTTATTTCACGTGAATGTGACATTTGTAGCCAAGTAAAAACAATAAGTGTAAAAACAAGCTAACATTTTTATATACGATATTGTTCATAATTTACTACATTCTCGTTTTTTTCACTGTAATATTGAAATTGTTGAACTGTTCGTTCTGTCAGCTGGTGCAAACAGCGTTACAAGGTACTTCACATAAGTTATAAACACTGACACATTACAAAATGTGGTAAAATGAGAGAAATGGCTTAAATTAAAGCTAAACAGAGTGATAATAAAACACTCGGGTGACATTAAAAGTTGTCACAAAACACTCTGAGAATCATCTTCCATCGCTTTAATCAGTTAGTTATTTATGAGTTTCTATCATATTCTGCCCAAACTGTAGCTGGTCACTTTTAATTTTCCACCTTGGGTGTAATATGTTTACCTGCAGGAGAGCCATGGGACAGCTTCCACTGCCTTTTTTCACAGCTGTTCAAAAACAGATTTTGGATGCCTATTAATGTGGAGCATTTTCTCAACATTTGGCACGGTGTCCTGGTCACCCAGTCACACTCACTGTTTACATATCCATGCAGTTTTATTTGTTTCATTCCTCTTGAATGTGATGCATCAGCAGAACTGACCTCATCTCTGTAAACCGCACACAATAAATGCCTCTATTTTTGAACCAAGCAGTGCCGGTTCATTTGTTCTGTTGCAGCAGAGCGCCATCTAGCGGCTCGTTGTTTCACAGAGTGACGCGTGTGACGCCACCTGACACAGCAGCTCTGTGTTTGTGTCGGTGTCTGTGCATCACACCGGGCAGCATCTCCAGTTTCACCGCAGTCCAGTGAGCGCGCCCCGCGGCTGAAGGTAGGGTAGGCTTTGGGATGTTTTTCAGGGTGTTTTCCAGCGCAAAAAGCTGCGCTCTTTTCCTGCACCCTTCACTAATCCTCCGCAGATGGATGGGGATTTCATGTGTGTTCTGTGTGTGATGGTTGTTATGTAATTGCATCACACTGACAGTGAGGCTTGAATGTTGTTTGGCTTCCATGTCACGGTAATTTGATAAAGGAGAGAGGTGCCGAAAAGTACAGAGGGGCGTGGGGGGGGGCTGGGTAGGCCCGGATGGCGCAGTTTCAGCGCACAGACATTGCTCCCTAACGGCCACACCATCATCTTCATCAGCAACATCGCGCTGCCACAGCTAAATAGTGCTGTGTAATAACTGTGTGACTCCTGGGACATGCGGGCGTCTGTAGTGCAGGTCTGCAGCGTCATGACCACCGCCTGGTCGTTGCGGCAGTGTCGCACAGAAATGTCCTGCAATGACACGTTTTTACGTCCGATCTGATGAGCTGGATGAGATTTGTAAGATTGGGGGGCTTCATTTTGAAGTGCACGAGTCTTGAGTGTATGGGCTGCTGTGCTCTGATGTTAGCTCAGTTTACTGTGTATTTTGGCAAATACCAACATTTTCCTTTCATAGCCGGTAAACGAACAGAACAGTAAATGCAGTATTTACCCCCTTACCCCTCCCAGACACTTATATATTTAAATAACCACCGGTTTATGCAGTAAAATAAAAGTTTAGGTTCATTCCAACATTTTTTTTTTTTTGTTTTTTTTGGTAGTTCATTTGTTGTCTATTTGACAATAATAACCTTGGTTTAGTCTGCCAGCTTCTAAATCTGCTGAACTGCCCATGCGCAAGACACTTCCTTAGCTTGTGAGGGAGTAGTGCAGGTGTTGCTAATCAGACTTACTGTTAGCTAACTAAATTTTGTTTAGCCTCAGAAAACAAAAGGTAAGGTGATGGTTGGAGCTAGTGTATTATTTTGTTTTATGTATATATTTCTAATTGTTAATTTGGATATGTCTTTGTTTAAATTTCAATGTAAACTTTCAAAATACCAGCGGGAAATCCCGTTAGCTTATTGTTAGCTCGTAGGGCGGTAAATTTTGTCATAATAGAAGCAGACTAATATGAGCTTTACTTTTAACCGGCTTGTTATTATTAAATTAACTTATTTTATTATGTAATTAACTCGTGCATTCTATATTTATATGCCAGTCTGATCCTTGGTGTGAAATAGTACAAATGTGTTTTGTTTTTTTAATATAAAACCTAATGTGCTATGCTGTAAATAAACTAGGGTTTTAATACATAAATAAAGGCTTGGAAAGAAAATGTTTTCAAGTTTAACAGGTACACTAAATTAATTATTTAGTGTCCCATATTTATTAAGTACAGTGTAAAAAGTATATAAAATCCCTCTTAGCCATTTAGTGGGGCGCACCAGTATTTTATAGGCCACCATTAAATGTGATAATAATGTTAGATCCGTTGTTATTATACATTAATATCACACTAATATTTAATATTCAAGAACTGTAACAGCCCTAATAGTAGTTTAAACCACTTGGTATGAAAAAGGGACCCAATTTATAAGGTCACGTGACAGGAGAAAATGTAAATGTTCACTTAAACTTCAATTTGGTTTTTACCAGAATTAATTCATTAAATAGTTAATGAATGAGTCAATTACTGTGCCTTGTTTTAGTGGATGTTTTGTTAAAAATAGTGCCAGGTTATATTTTCTTCTTGCTACACAGAAGAAATGGGGAGGAAAAGAATGACAAACGCATAAATAGGTTAGAGAGTCTAGTCTATTTTAAAAATAAAGGACTGTGCACATTTCCACTGTTGGTGATTTTTGGGGTTTTCTCTGTATTACTGTAGGGCCTTTTCCTCACAATATGAAGCGCCTTGAGGCTACTTTTGTTGTTTTGTTGCTAAATAAATAAAACTGAATTGAAATTGAATTGACCCAAATGCTTCACTTTTGAAATACTCCTACTGTGCAAAGAATGGTGTATATTTGAAGTTAGACTACAGTACAGTATTTGTGGTCATAGGAGAGCAGGTGAGGTGCGTCTTCTTAGTTAAATTAATAAGGAATAATTATGAGAGCATTTCCTGGACATGCCTTTATAGCACCAGAGTAAGGACAGATTAAAGCAGAAAGGCTTGTCGGAGGGGGGTAAACCTACATTTGAGAAGCAGTTCTTGTTTATATACAATAAAATCCACAAGTATTTGAACAGTGGCACAGTTTTATAATTTGCCCTCCATACATCAACGCAGTGTACTGATCTGGCTTTTTCCAGTTCCGATACAGATGCCCACAGCCAAGGTATCTGCTTAATCCAATGCCTGTTTTGCATTAATAATCTGTAATCCTCCCTGTGAGGACTCATTTGTTTATATGTGAGATAAAATCAGGCTTGATATAAACAGCTTCCATAACTCTGTAAATGAAAAGTGAAAAGTTAATGGATCCAAGAATATACATTTGTTGAATTTATTAGCGAAGTAATAAATGATAACAAGCTCGGTATGAACACCATCAAATATAAATAATGTATTGGAGTTATTCATCCAACTTATTTGCATTAGGCTTATTTTGGTTACAGTGAGTCATTAGGCTGCTGCAGGATGATGTCAGGTACAGTCACATTGGTATCTCCTTTTTTCTCCTCACACACACATTATGTGTGAAGTAGGGCTGTTTGATATAGCGATATATATCAGATGATGATATGAAAACGTCAATCGTTGCATATATTACGCTTTCGTTTGTTTCTTGGTGTTGCAAAATAAACTGTTTATGGCAATATTTTTTCATTGTTTTGATGGTCACTGTAGAATTTCTTAAAGTTCTCTCTTTTTCCTATATTTAATATAACCACACTATGGACGGAGAAGCGACTGTTTTTATGCGTTGACGTTAGCAACAACGACCGTAAAACCATTGCGTGGCTCCGTCGTCCGCTTGTTTATTTTCTACATAAACCTTTCACAATAAAGCTGAAGATCCTGTTGAGATTTTTTCAAAATAAACTGAATCACATGAAGGAGTACGGATGAGAAGCAAAAAAGAGCCGTCAGGTGCTAAAAAATAAACCTTAGAATCAAACGTCAGAACAGGCTTTTACCCGCAGCACGCCGTGTAATAAATAGTCACAAAGAAAATGTCTAAAAATGTAGTTTCATGCATCGGTCCAAACACTTGACCAGCTAAAAAAAAAAAAACTTCACGCAAATCGAGCTGCCCGAGATTCACAGAATTTACAGAAAATGTAAAATTTTTGTGATTTATAACGTTGTCGGGACGATAAATGTCTTATATTGGGATATGAGATTTTGGTCATATCGCACAGCCCTTGTGTGAAGCTGTCCAAAGAGCTGAAGTGAAAAATTATTTAATCAAGCTGAGGACAACACATTATATTACAAAGCCATTTGGATCCAAATATCAGTTCAGGGTATATCAAGCAATCAAGATGTGACTGAAGTGGAGATTTTGAACTTTGATTCAAGCGGTTTAATGCAGCCATGTTTAGGTTGTGTGGCCAACTCAGTATATCTCTGACTCAGAAAATAAACCTATCAGAGAGAAAGGGACTTTAGGAATGGCCAAATCAATTGTCAATAATGTTGATTGGCCAATTTCATTTTAATGGGATCTGTCACCTTCTTTATGAGGCTCAAATATGTTTTAAAGCTCTGCTGATAAATTCATTTTTCTGACACCCGGTTTAAATGAGAGACAATTTTCAGGCTGTTTAATTATTCAGATTTTAATTTCAGTTGAGTGTTTGGCTTCCAGAGTTAAAACAAAGAAATCAAGATAAAAATTATAATTGTGTCTTTGCATTACTTTTGCTGTTCCCTTTATGGAGATGACCCAAGTCTGTATCCGTTTCTTGTCTTGTTGTCAGAGTGAGCAGCGATGGGGAAGGAGAAGCTCCACATCAACATTGTGGTAATTGGACATGTTGACTCAGGCAAGTCCACCACCACCGGCCACCTGATCTATAAGTGTGGTGGCATTGACAAGAGGACAATTGAAAAGTTTGAGAAGGAAGCTGCAGAGGTATGACTCATGTTGTTCTTACTTCAAAAAAAGATCATTTTGAAAATTTTCTGCTATTTATCTCCTGTTTCTGGTCTACTTGTCTCCTACTCTGGATAATATTCTCATCTTTTTATTACAAGTCCACAAAAAATATTCGGTCATCAGTCTTATTGATTTACCTTTTACACCTTGTAGATGGGAAAGGGTTCCTTCAAATATGCCTGGGTGCTGGACAAGCTGAAAGCTGAGCGTGAACGTGGCATCACCATCGACATTTCTCTTTGGAAGTTCGAGACCAGCAAGTACTACGTCACCATCATTGATGCTCCAGGGCACAGGGACTTTATCAAGAACATGATCACTGGGACCTCACAGGTACAGTTCAGTGGAGTTCTTAAGTGCTCGTGTTAAATGCCATTTATAAGTTTAAAACTCCAACATCTTTGATCTCAGCTGGTGATGACATTCCTTGTTCTTGAGCTCACAGAGAGATCATAGTTTAGTTTAGTTTAACTTTATTTAAGACACACACGGGTCCATAGCAAAAAAAATAGATGCAAAAAAAAAACCAGTAGAAAATTTAAAACAAATTCCACAGTGTCACACAATTATATAGAAAGTAAAACAACAACTGTTCCATAACTTTGAATAACACCTAACTGAGTTTAGTGCAGGGTCAGTCAGAGATACGATTACACTGTTTGTGTAGTCCTTTACCCTACACATACAACTGTGCAGGTTGAGACGATGACCACCATCATCAGCTTCTGTCCTAAATGCTT